GTGATGTCATGTGTTCGTGTGTGATGTCATGTGTTCGTGTGTGATGTCATGTGTCCGTGTGTGATGTCATGTGTCCGTGAGTGATGTCATGTGTCCGTGTGTGATGTCATGTGTTCGTGTGTGATGTCATCACCTGTGGTGGTAGTGGATGGTGGCGGACAAACCTCTGGCACAGATCCTGTAGCAGGTCAGGTGGACGAGTTCACTGAGCCACGTCTTCACACTGACACACACACACACACACACACACACACTGTCAGTACTACAGTTTATCCGATATTGTCCAAACACTTAATTTCCGATTCCGATATATAGTCCTGCTAATATTTATTTATTTATCAGTACAAACCACTGTATGAGTTCCTGACACCAACATTCTTCATACAATCCACTGATTATTAAAATAGATTAATAAATTGAGCTGCAATGCTGCCATCTAGTGACTATCACGTATATATACAGGTGTTTTTCCCTAAAACTATTATTAGAGCACACATCATTTGACGAAACCCAGGCATTGCGTTATCAGGTTTTTCATTATCGGAGGAAAAACCGCTAACGCTTCTTACAGATATTACATGATTACGCGAATATCGGTCGGCCAATAATATTGGACATCCCTCGTCAGTACATATCCTGTATGTGTAGCTGATCATAACAACTTCCTCCTACCTGCTGTCGGGTAGAAATCCAACCAGTGTTGTTCCGATGACGAGCCAGGAGAGGCCGACGATGGCCATCGCGATCCTGCAGGAACAGGAAGTGCTCGTTAACTCTTTGTAACGATGACTATATAAAACCTGCGTCTCCTGCTCCGGTGTCTCTGACTGACCTGAGGGGGAACAGGACGCTGTATCGGACAAAAACGCCGATGCCCCAGACGACGGTTAGCCGCAGGCTAATGTAACGGAAGTTTTGGTTGGTGCGTGTCAGGAGGTTCCAGGAGGCTAGCTCCTCGGAGGAGAACCGCTGCGTCACCTGGTCGTCCACGATGCTCTCCAAACCCATCTTGTAGAAATAGAGGGCGTCGCTGAGAGAAAACTCCGCCCCCAACACTGTGTCGCCTCCAGAGCGGCGCTGTACCTCCATCATCTCCTCCTCCATGGAGCCGCCCCCCCGCTCAATGATGCCTGAACAACGGACACGGAGGTCAAACACACTGGACACTACATCAGTGACTGATTCTGGTCAAACTGGCAAACATCTAATCAGCCAATCACACGGCCCCAACAAGTGTCAAGAAGAAGAAACGTGTCTCAAACTGTGGCTGCTGTATGGTACACATGCTGTACATACACACAATCGCACATTCACACACGCCCACAGTTGCACAGTGGGGAAGCTCAATCCAATTAGCTTGATTATTAATTAAAGTGTGCACTCAGAGGAGAGCTGGCACTGGTGGAGGCAGCACATACAGTGGGAGGTGACTGCTGTGAGGGTTTGAAATTTTCCGTAGCAGAAGGTGACCAGGATGTACGGTCAACGTAACTGACCACTCTCTCTCTCTCTCTCTCCCTCTCTCTCTCACAGACGTCCACTGACAAACTAACAAACTAAAAAAATCGTTCTTTTTTATTTCGTCGACTTCAGCAGGTCGTCCTGACCAGGTCTGTGTGGCTCATCAGCTATTAATTATAACTAATAATTAATTGTTGATTACTAGCTTCAACAGGTGAGTCAGATCAAACTGAGGGGGGGGAGGGGTCATTGTTAGGGAATGACAGACCTTTGGGGAGGGGGACGGGAACGCTGGGCTGCTCCTGACGTCCTCTCTGGATTCGAACCGTTGCCCACTGCAGTATGAACAGAAAGAACATCACGTGACCTTTGTTCATCAGTGACAGAGAGACGGGTGAGACGGGGGAGACGGGGGACTGTCAGTACCTCCAGGATTTTGACCAGGATCTGGATGTAGACTCCTGTGACTCCCAGAGAGAGACCGAACATGGCGGGCAGCATGATGAAGCAGACCACCACCAACATCCAGACCTGGAACACACTGACCACCAGACTCCACAGGTCCTCCATGACCGGGGTCACTGTCAGGTCACTGTCAGGTCACTGTCAGGTCACTGTCAGGTCACTGTCAGGTCACGTCATCATCTGCAGAACAAACAAACAAACAAACAAAGAAGAAGATTTTATTTATAACAAGTTTATCCAATGGGCCAATCCCATTGGTCAGTGAGGCCGGGGTTACACCCACATCTAACCATGTCCAGAAACCAAAATAATTTTTAATAACTTTTATTAGTAACTAGTACCTGGACATAAAAGATCTAAGTTAGATCTAAGTTCATCCATAGTTTAACTGAGTCTACATTTAATCCTGAACCAAAATGGATGAGAATGACACAAATTACTAATTTATTTCATTCCAGAATAATCCAGAATACGCCTTTACTGTTTTCATTCAAAGATAATCTGGACTGTGATAAAAAATAATCTTGCATATATCTACATCTAAACTAAGTGAATCCATTTAACCACTAAAGAAAGCACAGCTAACGTCTCAGTATCTTAGCTTTAAACTGGAGTCTGACTGTTTTCATGGTTAATTGCTACTAAAACGTTCAACCCTTCGTGTGATTGACTTTAACATACGATAAGGAAAAACTGTTCTATTATAAATTACCGTCTCTAAAAACTAACATCTACTGAATGACTTGACTATTGAAGGAAAAGTTAAACTGAGGTTTAACCAAACTAAACCAGACTAAACTAATACTGGCGGATAATTTGTTTCGTTAAATACCTGCAGTGAGTCCAGTAAACGGTGAACGTGAACCTCTAGTGTCTACGTGCTCCTTAACTTAGTAAAGTTAACCAAGACTAACCATGATTCGTCCCTTGTCCGTGAATTTAATCTCAGTATTTTCCAGTATAACGGTCCGAAGTGAAACGTCTTGTTCAGTCGGATGACCAGTCACTGCTGCGCTCTTAGGACACGCCCCTCACGCTACTTCATGATGACGCGCTGCGCAGAGAAGACGCAGTCTCTTTGTTTTTTTTTCCCCTCCATGCGCATCCTTTGCGGAATGGTGACTCTTGAGATGTTGCTGTGTTGTTGTGAGGCAGCAGTATGGCGGAGCCGTCTGTCCAAATGTCCGGGTTCGTTTTAGCTTCGTTTATGTTCCAGCACGTTAACAACGACGAAGACGTGGTGAGCAACTTGTTGATGTTTAAAAAAAAACAATTTCTTTAATCATACCGGGAACTTCTTGGTTGTCACAGCTCAACTGTCACAGCTAAACCAGCCAACCAAACAGAAGCGTCTCAGCCTCATTAAAACTTTAAAAAGTTGAATTACTTTTTAAAACGTGTGTATATATTGGCTATAGTTGTGTTTCCCGGGTACTTGTTCTACCTTAGTGGGTCTCAAAAAAAATACCCACGCGTTTTCGCAACTTTTAACAAAACAAAACGTTCATAACGGTTGCCTGAGGCGGAATTTCTTTTACAAACTCCTTGAAATAACGTTAATCTAGTCCTTCACAATAACTTTAAGTATTTAAAGATCCATGTTGAAAGTAATTAACGTTTGTTGATGAATTCGGCAAATGCAAAAAAAACTAAGCGTTCTGCTGTTAGAATATTATAATGTAATAATATGTTAATGAAGTGACGTCACCTTTGTCTCTGACATCTCCCCAGGAAGGACTGATCCTTGGCCAGAGCCGTGTTGATGAGCAGATCACCATCAATGACTCTCAGGCCGATCACATTCACACAGAGGAGATTTACAGTGAGTTCATGTCAGTCACAGGGCCTTCACTCTGGTGATATCACGGGACTGAAGTTCATAAAGTGCCGTGCCAATGCTTTTGGCCTTTTATTTCAGTTTGTCAACTGTGTACTTGTCCACACTATTGTCCATAATGAAAATAAGCATTGAGGCTCATAGACATCAAGGGAGGCCGGGTCTACTGCTGCCTGTTTGGTGAAATGTTTTTTAATTATCGACAGATTTTACAAATATAAACGGTTTGACACAATTCACAGGAGCGTCAGAACAACACAACCTTTGTGTGTTTTGATGTAAAATTGCTAGTTTTCTAGTCAGTGAATCAGTGAATTTTCAGGACATTTAAAACTAAAGATGATGCAAAATTAATTTGGTTAAAAAAAGGAAAAACATTAACTGTTAAATTTGCATGATATAATTCTTTTTTAATAACCATCTAAAAGAACATTTCTTCCACAGATATTCAGAAACACGCAACTTTCCACAAATTGAACCAGTGAGTTGTTTTTTAAAAAATACTTTTACTACTGTTTTGTACAGTGTATAAATTATTTATTGTTTACGTCTGCGTAGCTTTTACAACAGTGTCGGAGACATAGACGTGGAGGCTTTAACGAAAGCGCTGTCGGACAACAAGCAGGTAAAAAAGAAAAACCCTTTCTCAGTGTGAGTTCATTCTGTCATGGAGAAGATGATGACATCATCAGCCTAATCTTGCTGTAGGAGAGCGTGATTGGCTGGTACAGACAGAGGAGAAACACAGACCATCAGATGACCTACAGAGAAAAAGTTGTCCATGAGAAACTGAAGGTGTTTCTGTCCAACCCTCATATTTTGTTTGTGCTGTTCACGTCCAGTCAAGTGACATCATCAGGCTCCACCCACAGCATGGAATACGCCGCCTTCATCTCCCGCAACAGGTGATGATTTCATTACTCTGTTATAGAAATGTAACGATGCGTCTTGACATATATACAAATGTGCATCGGTTGAAATGAAAAATGAATCTCGCATCAAGGTGTAAAGTTATCTGAAAAAGTCACTGGTCAAACCATGACACTACACACTCTAGTCCAGTAGGTGGCAGTATGTGCTACCCACTATCAAACCCACACGTCAGGTCCTACATAGGCTGAGAGACGTTCAGGTGTTGGAACAGAACGTGGGAAGAACTGGTTCCACAGACACCAACCGTGTTCTCCAGTGGAACTCTTTCCACTTCCTGTTTTTTCTCTTCTTCTTCTTCTGTTGTTGTTTCATATATTGACAGTTAACCAGGTCAACCAGACCAGACCAGTTTGACCAGTTTAACCAGAGCAGATCAGTGGAGATGGTCCAGAGTTTCTGGACAGAAATGGGACATTTCTCTTTTGTCATTGAAGAGAACAATGTCAGTTGGTGAGGCAGACCATTTAGTTTAAAAAAAAACATTGTGATAAAATTATATTGTGGGAAAAAAAGTGAATTATCAGTTGAGTGTAAAAAATTGTGATAAAATTATTTTGTGGGAAAAAAAAGTGAATTATCAGTTGAGTGTATGGTTAGTAAGTAAGTCAGTAAAAAAGCTTGGTTTATTAACATACATTTTATTTCTTTTTTGTTACAAATATTTATTAACTTGGTTCCAACACTGTTACCTATTTATCCCAGTCACTTCCTGCACCTCCCCATCATCGTCACCAACCTGGGTTCACTGGATCAGCAGGAGTACTGGAAGGTCTCCACTCTGTGTTCAGCTGCAGGTTATGACCTCACCATGAGGAAACATGGGTACAAACATCACTGCACACCATGAGTTGGTTTTTAAGTATCGATTTTATGGCGTTGGTCACATGGTTTTTAACACATTCTAATGAATGTAAACGTTTAGAATCTGTTTAGATGAGTTAGTTTTTAACTTGAATGTATTTAACAAAAATACAGCAACTGATCAGCCTAAAACTGTGTTGTTATATTGTTAGTTGTTATATTAGTTTGTGTGTCAGCGGGCGTTGATTACAAGTAGAATCACCAGAACGTTACCTTAACGTGACGTCACCCACGTTGGTCTCCCTCTACTGTTTCAAGGTCAAATTTCTTCTCATCTAACGGACTCCTGAAGGAAGTGGATGAAATAGTGAAGATGAACGAGTCTCTGCAGGCGGAGCTACAGGTTGGAAACAGCGCCACTGCCAGCATGGTGGTGATTTGAAGAACATACTCGGAGCCACCTGTGACGTGTGTTTGTGTTTGTCTGTGTGAACAGAAAACGTGTCGAGTTGTTGAGCAGAGCGAACGTCAGGTGGAACATCTGCAGGCAGAAGTTTCTGCTCTCCGGAGGAAGGTCGCAGAGAAAAAGCGGAGCACAGAAGAGGAAGGTGGGTGTGGTGAGAGCGAGAGTCCGCCATTCGTCACAACCGGGTCTGTTTACAATTAATTCATCGTAGTGATTGATTCGTCGACTTGTATTTTTGGTCATCGACCTTCTTCGCCAGGACGAAAAAATACATAACAACTTTTTAAAAAACAAGTTATGTACACAGCTAACTGACGATGGCGCTGTGTACTAATACAATAGTCAACGAATAAAAACGAGACAAAAAAAATTAAGACGAAACAGCGGTGATTTTTGTCACGTAAACTGAAGTAACGGTGAGGTTAAGAGCCAATCAGCTACGTCCGGTGGCTAAAAGGCGGGACGTGTGTCTAGCGTTAGAAAATAAAAAAGCAGGAGACAGACGTACGACAATTCACGTTATTGTACGATATTTTTTTACGAATGTCAACATATACATTAACGTATAATAAAACGTCGCAAAATAATCTAGTAATAAATGTTAAATAAAATATCTGTTGGTGTGTTGTTCCAGTGACCGTTGTCGATCCCCCTGAAGAGAAAAACAACTTCCGGCTGCAGGATGCCATCAACAGACTTTTCCCCAACTCACCGGTGTTGGACTCTCAGACTGTGACCTCCGATGGTTTTCCTGGTCCTGACAACTGCTGCAGCTTTGAGAGTAGCGGAATCGATTCCTCTGTTTTACAGACGTCTGAGAACCAGAGCAGAATGAACTGTCAAAGGAGAGGGAGGAAGAGAAAACGCAGGAACAGCCGATACTGACAGGAAGTTGATTGATGCACTACATTATTTAATGACTGTAGAACTCTGTGCCTTCTTGGTACTACGCACTACATTATTTAATGACTGTTTGTAGAACTCTGTGCCTTCTTGGTACTAATGGTCATGTGACTGTGATGTCACCTTTATGGAGTCAAAGAGAATGGGATTTTATCGGCTGTTCTTTTTGGTTTTATTTTAAAAACCTACTGAAATCAGATTGACTTTTTTTTTACCTATAGTTAATAAATTTTTCAATTGCAGTATCTCGTCTTTTGAGAAACAACCTTTTTTTCTGTCACAATGTCCTTGTTAAATCACATTTAACACAAAATCAGTCCAATATAATGTCATAAGAAACGACTGATGAGGTTCATCCACGAAAGAAGGGTCACGTTGTTGACCTCTAAAAACATGAATTGTTGAAATAATATAGGCCAACTCTCCTGTCTGATTCATGGTGTTAGATTATGTCCATAAAATAGAATTGTCAGAATAACCTAAAACAGAACACCTCAAAGTTTGTCAGGGTCATTAGTCTGTGCCTTAGGCTGCTCACTCTGCTCTTATTACATAATAATAAAAACCTCTGCTAAAGTAAACAAAAACAACAATGTTTCATACATAAGATTTTAATAGATATTGTCACATACATACACATTTGCAAACAGACACATTAACGCAGATATTTGATGTTGCAGATATTTGGGTCCCTCATGAGCTGTGGGTGTTTGTGGGTCACAGACATGAAACCTGGTGGAGGAAGTGACACGGTCAAGTTAGCTGTGTTTGATTAGTCAAAGAGCTTCCAATCAAAATGTTAACTTCACAATGACACGAGCTGCTCGTCTACTGTTTAAATAATTTACATTCATGCAGTTTATTGGGTTACACAGACTCCAGTTTCCTGGTTGTCTTCTTTTTATGTCAGAGGTGGAGTTATAACAAAAGTTTTCAGAACATTTACCCAATTTTTGAGCTTTCTTTATGGCTTTGGAAATCTCTTTTTGTTTTCTTCCACAAAGTCCTAGAAAAAAAACAACAGTCAACTGTTAACATTTGAACTGATACCAGATGTTTGGGAACAAAAAAAAAATCTGCAATAATTACCTGTGATGTGTCGACCGTAGATTCTGCCTGTGTAAGGTGAGATGAACTGGGACAGTAGCTGTAACAAACACAGAAGAAAAAAAGAAAATGACCCTAGTGTCACAGAAACCAAACACATGGGCTGTGCAGCCTGTAACTGCCATGTCATTATATATATATATTCACCTGTATATTTTTAAAGTCTACTTCCACCTTACAGAGGACACAGCCTTTCTCTGGCTCTTGGTACGGGTTCGTCATCTTTTCCAGCTATAAAATAATTCATAAAATGACTAAATGACACGTTCACACATAATGAATGGAGAATGTGGTCGCTGGTATTTACGAGACTCACCACGCCTTCTTCATGTCGTACCACATTGGATGTTTCACGTCGTAAACCTGAAGAAAGCAACATTTTTGACGTTTACTGTATTTACCTGCATGCTGCTGGTAGCATTAGCATTAGCAAGTTCATACATTTCGAGACAAAAACATTTGTGTACGCCAGGTAACCAGTGTAATTTATAAACTCATTAGATTTTTAATATATACAAGACAAGAATTTGCGATAATTGTGTACAACCTGTGTTCCCTTGTTGAAATAAAACGGAGAGTAATCGCTGCGACAATCTCCTACAAAACATTTTGACCTAACATAGGACAGGAAGTGGTCCTTCGGCATTGATGGTCCGTCACGCCGTTCGCTTCTGACTACATCTTCATGATAGATTCAGTGACGTGGACGTAGCATAATATGACATTTAAACTACATGTGTAAAATAGTTAATATTATTTAAAATATACTTTTTTGTTTAGCTATTAAATCTGGTGAAAATGAGGTTAAATGTGATTTTTTTTTACGTTTCATTTCGGGACCGATCAAGTGTTACTCCGCCCCAAAGAAACAAAACGAGGATGGAAATAAATATCCCGGAACTAAGTAGTTTTTAGTTGACTGATGTGCGTGGCTACTAAATGATGTACAACTGATTTTGTACAGAAGTTTTAGATAATAAAAACAAAAGTAACTTTTATCAGAGTTAATTGAAAAGTGTTGTGGTTTTTCTAAACTGGACATAAAAGATTTGGTTTGAGCACAGACGTAAAATTTGAATAAGTGGTTGTTGTAGAGAAAGTAAAATGAATTATACACGCCCAGGGTGTTATTAGTGATTTTAACCAGATTCGATATCCCGAAGTCCCAAATAAAGGCAGTCCCAGTAAAGATCCGTTCGTTGTTGCCATGTAGATTTTGATTAAAATCAGCCGTTATATAACTATTTTATTAACCAACTAAGTTTATAAACTCTGAGACCTGCTACGGAGCAAACCTTAACTAAAACGGAAGTAGTGGTGAGGTAAGTATCTTGGGCTGATGCTGACGTTGATCGTTTCAAATGTGACGCCGCCTACTCGTCATTGTGTATCTGCGTTTAAACCCCAGCTACATGTAATCGATTTGTTCACGTTTAAAGCGTTTTTATGATGCCTATGAGGAATTAACAGTTATGGAGGAGCACTAATAACACTCATGTACTATAACAGCTTCCACCAAGGTTAGCCGCGCTGCTAGCAGCTGTATGTAACAAAAGTAACGTATGAGTGAGTGACAGTTTAAACAGCAGAGTCTCCTCTCATGTATCTACGTCACCTGTTTGTTAGTTTTCTGTGTCGCTGTGTTTAACAACTAACACATGTAGCTGCTCGGCCAGGGATGAACGCGGCACCTCAGGAGCTCAAAGTCAGACGAGTTTCCTCCAGGAAGAGGCCCAGAGACGAACAACCGACCCGACTGACACCTGACCTAAAACGAACAGGAGGCAGAAGAAAGTCCTTACAGCAATGTCCCACAAACAGGAAATTAAACTACGTCATGGCTCAGGATCAACCTGCCGAGGTACTGTATCTTTGTGGCTTCCCTCAAATGGAACACTTTTATAATCAAACGTGTTTTTAATCAATGACAAAAACTCAAAACAGTCAAAATTCTCAAACTGTGCTGTCCATAATTTAAAACAGTCAAAATTCTCAAACTGTGCTTTGTTTTTGACTTGTTTGTGTGACCTGTGTTATCTGGTGTGTTGTGTTGCAGTTCTGCAGTGACTCTGAGGACCTGTTTGGAGACTATGACAGTATACTGGGCAACAGTTCTCTGTTGGCGGAGCTGGACCACGCAGAACAAAAGGAGAGGCAGCGTGACGTCGTAGATCAGGTGGATTCACGTGGGACTCAGTTCAGTGACTCCGTCTTGGACGACTTCCCTGACGAACCTTTGATAGAGCTGCCGTCCAGTCAGGTCCAGCAGGAGAAACTTGTGAAGAGGAGGAGGCTGCAGGACGTAGACAGAACTGTCTCGGCTGATGAGAGCGGGGACGCCGTGGAAGATGGACCCTCGAGAGACAAACGACTCAGAGGAGACGGACACACGGAGGAGGGCGGGCAGGGAGGCCGCAGGGCTCGGAGGAGCGTGGCCGATCAGCTGAAGGAGATGATGCTCTGTAACGCAGCAGCTCCGACGAACGTTTCACGCACGGCTGCGTTGAAGGAAGTTATCATTTCGGAGGAGGTTAATGTCGCCATGCGGGCCATGGAGACGGTTTCCACGGAGATAACAGACCTGGGGCCGTTCTTTGGACTTCCTTCCAAAGTCAAAGACCTGGTTTATCAACTCAAAGGAATCAAGAGTTTATATGGTGATGACCTTTTCTCTGTTCAGTCTCAGTTTTTAACAACATTTTAATTTCTTACTCGAGTCCAAACGTAGGATTTTGTTCCAGTCAAATAGAACCACAGCAGTGTTTCAACCCTGTTCTGACCCGTCCATAAACCCAGACTGTTGTGTTCCAGACTGGCAGGAGACGTGTCTGAACCTGGACTGCGTCCAACAGAGGAAGAACCTCATCTACTCTCTACCCACAAGTGGAGGAAAAACCCTGGTGGCTGAGATCCTGATCCTCCGAGAGCTGCTGTGCAGGAAGAAGGACTGTCTGTTCATCTTACCTTATATATCACTGGTGCAGGAGAAGGTGTGTATAATAATGATACTAACAATAATGTAACACATTAATATTATATTATAATATCAAGTATAATGTGTGTCAATAACTGTTAGCTAGAGATGTCCGATAATATCGGCCTGATATTAGCATAATCGTGTAATATCTGTAGGACTCGTTATCGTTTTTTCCTCCAGATATGCTTCAATTTCTTAAATTCCACAACAGGAGATATGTATGTGATGTGACCTAAAAATAGTTTTGGGGGAGAAACGTCTGCACGTGACGATATCGATTTATAAGAGAAATTACCAGATAGAATAGTATCATCTGCGTAGAATTGAACGCTGTAGTTGTTTTCAGACCTTGATGTGGTCCGAGGGCGCCGCCCTGTGGTGGGACGTTGTTTTTTTTTTTTTCCCCTCACGTGCTGCTTGTTCGTCCCAGGTGCGCGGCCTGGCGAGCTTCGGTCTGGAACTGGACTTCATGGTGGAGGAGTACGCCGGCACCAAAGGCAGGTTCCCTCCGGTGAAGAGGAAGAGCAAGGCGTCGTTGTACATCGCTACCATCGAGAAAGCCCACAGTCTGGTGAACTCGCTGGTGGAAACTGGACGTCTGGAGCAGCTGGGACTGGTGGTGGTGGACGAGGTCAGAGCAGGACGCACTCAAACTGGATCACCTGGGTTTTTTTTTCTTCTTTCACTTGTGTTTTGTAACGGCTGTTCTTTTGCAGCTTCACATGCTCGGAGACGGCAGTCGAGGCGCCATCATTGAAATGACCTTGGCCAAACTCCTGTACATGAGCAGTAAGTCTGCCGGACCCTGCAGTCGCTGCACGCCCCCTACTTTGGGAACCTTTACATCCATCCATCTGCTGCTCTGTCCTCGGTAGACGTCCCAGTCCTCTGACCTTTTTTTTTTGTTTGTTTTTTTCCAGGTCAGACTCAGATTATTGGAATGAGTGCCACTCTGGGAAACATCAGCGACCTCCAGAGGTTTTTGAAAGCTGAGAATTACACCAACGACTTCAGACCTGTGAGTGCTGCTGTTTTATAGATTTGATTCGTTTATTATGGTCTGTTCATGTGGTGTTTTTGTTTTTTTCTCAGGTCCAACTTAAAGAAAATACGTCAAACTGAAGGACACCATCTTTGAGGTGGACCCAAAGGAAGAGAACTGTTTTAAGTTCTCACGTCTTCTCAACTTCAAGGTTCATGAAGTTAAAATATATATATGGAACTCATATTGGAGAAATTCTTTTGTTAACAGCAGATCTGCTTCCCCTGATTGTGGTTCCTCTGGGAATTGAACCCAGGACCTGTACTGCTTGTTTTCAGAGGCAGGCGTGCTAACCGTTACACTACTGTACTGCTACAAAAATCCAAAATCAAAATATTAAAGATCAAAATAATACACTTGAACCGTAACACCCCCCCCCCCCATAATGTTGGTGGATTGGAGTCATTACTGTATCAGTCGTGGACAGACGGTGGCGCGCCTCCATTTACAGTGAGCCCCAGAGGAACCACATATTTGGCGCCTCCCAGTGGCCGCCTGTTGCAACAGATCTGCTGTTAACCCAACATATTCCCCAGTGTGGAGATCAACACAGTTATAAATCCATCCATCCATCCATCCATGGACTCTGACCACATCATCGCTCTGGTCACTGAGGTCATCCCCAAACACTCCTGTCTGGTTTTCTGTCCCACCAAGAAAAACTGTGAGAATGTCGCCGTCATGATCTGCAAATACCTGACGGAGTGAGTGGACGTTTGAATGTCTTCTACTGGTGCTGTCCTCTGGTGTTGTCCTCTGGCGTTGTCCTCTGGTCCTGTCCTCTGACTCTGCCCTCTGGTCTTGTCCTCTGGTCTTGTCCTCTGACTGTGCTGTCCTCTGGTGTTGTCCTCTGACTGTGCTGTCCTCTGGTGTTGTCCTCTGACTGTGCTGTCCTCTGGCGTTGTCCTCTGGTCTTGTCCTCTGGTCCTGTACTCCTCTCCTCTGGTGTTGTCCTCTGACTCTGCCCTCTGGCGTTGTCCTCTGGTCTTGTCCTCTGGTCCTGTACTCTGGTGTTGTCCTCTGACTGTGCTGTCCTCTGGCGTTGTCCTCTGGTCTTGTCCTCTGACTCTGTCCTCTGGTCCTGTCCTCTGACTCTGCCCTCTGGCGTTGTCCTCTGGCCCTGTCCTCTGACTCTGCCCTCTGGTGTTGTCCTCTGACTCTCTCCTCTGGTGTTGTCCTCTGGCGTTGTCCTCTGGTCCTGTCCTCTGGTCCTGTCCTCTGACTCTGCCCTCTGGCGTTGTCCTCTGGTCCTGTCCTCTGACTCTGTCCTCTGGTGTTGCCCTCTGGTCTTGTCCTCTGACTGTGCTGCGATCCTGTGCTCCTCAACAGAGACTTCCTGAAACACAGGAAGTCGGAGAAGGCCGTCCTCCTCCAGGAGCTGAAGGACAGCGGTGACGGACACGTTTGTCCCGTCCTCAAGAAAACGGTTCCGTTCGGGTTGGCGTACCATCACAGTGGACTGACCACCGAGGAGAGGAAGCTGGTGGAGGAGGCCTACTCCAGCGGCGTCCTCTGTCTCCTCACCTGTACATCCACTCTGGCCGCTGGGGTCAACCTGCCTGCCCGCAGGTGAGACGACAACCAATCAGCAGCTCCGTTTCACTGTTGAACAGAAAAAAAATTCACAGTCAGAGGTGGACTGGAGTGACGGCCGTGAGGCCGCGGGAGCAGATGTGTCTCACCCTGTCTGTCTTTGACCCCGTGTCCCTGGTCAGAGTCGTCCTGCGGTCTCCCTACGTGGCCACAGACTTCCTGAAGAGGAGTCAGTACAAACAGATGGTGGGGCGAGCCGGGCGAGCTGGGATCGACACGGTGGGAGAGAGCATCCTCATCCTGCAGGACAAGGACAAGGACATGGTGAGGAGACGTGAATTTGTCCTCGGTCTTTCCCGTCCTGACATTTTTGTCATGATCTGTGTCAGAAATGTTTCCTCGTCCGTTTGTTTCAGGCCAGGACGCTGATGTGCGCTCCGATGGAGAACTGCTACAGCAACCTGATGAACGAGGACGAGAAAGGAATCCTGAGTCTGATCCTGTCTCTGATTGGACTAAAGGTAAACGTCCCAGGTCTTGTGCGTCGTCGCTGCGTGAAGACAGAGATCAGAGCGATCACCGTGTGACCGACTTGTCTTTCCCAGATCACCACCTCGCTGCAGCAGGTGAAGGACTTCCTGTGCGGGACGCTGCTGTTCGTGCAGCGGGAGCGTCTCTGTGTGAAGCACAGTCTGTGGGACGTGGTGCGGCGGTGTGTCTGCCACCTGCAGGAGAAACAGCTCATTACAGTGACGTCCAGTTCAGAGGATGAAACTCTGGAGGTCACCAGGCTGGGAAGAGCCACGTACAAAGTTAGGCCAGGCCGATGATGACACAGGCCGATGATGTCACAGGCCGATGATGTCACAGCCCGATGATGTCACAGGCCGATGATGTCACAGCCCGATGATGTCACAGGCCGATGATGTCACAGCCCGATGATGTCACAGGCCGATGATGTCACAGCCCGATGATGTCACATGTGAAAATGTGAAAAAGTGTTTGGGAAAAAAAAATCTTTCACTTATCGGAGGATTGGTGTCGGAGCTGCTGTGGAAAAGTGTTTGGGAAAAAAAAAATCTTTCACTTATCGGAGGATCGCAGTATAAATTCAGACAAATCTTGAAGTTGGTTTTTGAAAACCTGAAACTGGTTAGATCCAAAATTCCAAATCGAGATTAGTCGTTATTAATCGTTTCAATAATCGGTGACTAATCGACCATCAATATAGTCATTAGTTGCCGTTTTATTGTCAACTTCAAACTGTTGTTGTTTTAGTTAAAGATTCTCCTTCACTGATGTCGAACTCTTTTCCATTTTTTTTTTTTTTTTCTTTCCGCTCCGGTCCACTCTCGCCCTGGTTCTGGTCCACAGGCTCGGTGAATCTGTCCTTCAGTGACGTCCTCTACAAAGACCTGTCCCAGGGTCTGGAGGGTCTGCTGCTCAACAGTTACCTTCACCTGGTCTACCTGGTGACGCCGTACGACATGGTCTCACAGTGTAAACCCGACTGGATGATTTATTTTCGACAGGTAATGTCCTCTCCAGCGCCCCCTACTGTCCCCCCTCCTCTGTAGACACCAGTGAATGATCGTCTCTGTCCCTCAGTTCGCAGTCCTGTCGGCCGCAGAGCAGAAGATGTCGGCCTCCGTCGGCGTCCCCGAGAGTTTGGTGGCCAGAAAAGCTGCGGGACAGTCGGTGAAGAAGGTGAGGAGGAAGAGGAGGAGGAGCTGTTGTTGTTGTTGTTGCTGTTGCTGTTGCTGTTGTTGTTGCTGCTGTTGTTGCTGTTGTTGTTGTTGTTGTTGTTGTTGTTGCTGTTGTTGTTGCTGCTGTTGTTGTTGTTGCTGTTGCTGTTGTTGTTGCTGTTGTTGTTGCTGTTGTTGTTGCTGCTGCAGGTCTGTTCTCAGCTGCACTGACTCACACCTGCTGTTCATCAGAGCGACAACATGGTGGCGTTGCAGCGGCTGTACCTCGCTCTGGTGCTGTTCTCTTTACTGAAGGAAACAAACATGTGGAGCGTGGCCGACCGGTTCCAGCTGAGCCGCGGCTTTGTTCAGACGCTGCTCACCTCTGCCTCCGCCTTCTGCTCCCGTGTACTGCACTTCACTGAGGTGAGGCCTTGACTGATGCC